CTCAAAAAAAATACAAGTGCCCAACAAATACAAAAAGATGCATAGCCACAGTGGTATTTAAAGAAGTATGAATTAAAATAACAGTGGAGATTTATGCTTTAACAAACAACAGCAAGATTCTGTTCTGATCTATATATTCTTGCTATTCTTCACTTAATATACTTTGTATATATGTTTCTACATATATTTGCATCATGTTTCCAGTTTTTACATAATATTTTGTGGATACAATGCTATATATTACATTACTAATAAATGTTTTTTGTCTTTTGGGTTTTTGTATTATTTGTCTACAATTATTAAAAATCAGGTGGTGGTACATGCCTGTAGTCCCAGCTACTTGGAGGGACGAGGCAGGAGAATCACTTGAGCTCAGGAGTTAGTGGTTACAGTGAGCTATGGCGACGCCACTGCACTCTAACCCAGGCAACAGAGTGAGACTCTGTCTCAAAGAAAAAAAAAAACCCAAAATCAGAACAAAATTAGGCTAACAAAATATGCAGGGTTGACTTTTTAAAAATAATTTTATCACCTTTAATAAAAGAGGTTTTAAAAGGAGTTTAAAACTTGTTCAGATGTTTCCTAAATTTCAAATGCCTTGAGAATTGTTCTTTGGGGACTAAGTGGAATGGCAAACAATTGATTCATGCCAGATTAAGCTCGATTCTTGTATGGGGGACATCAGCGGTAAAATTTTTCAGCAAACAAATTTGCTTGTGTTTTCCTCAGGTGAATGTTTGAGATGCATGTTCTGGAATAATCTTGGTTGCATCCATTTTGCCATGAGCAAGCACAATTTGGGAATTTTCTACTTTAAGAAGGCTCTGCAGGAGAATGACAATGTCTGTGCTCAGCTCAGTGCAGGTAGCACTGATCCAGGTAATCCCAGTGCTGGGGGACAGTTTATATTTTACTATTTGAGAAAAGTGTGATTTACAGAGCAAGCATGTGGTCAAAATACATGCCATGTAGACCTACATGCAGTTAACACTGATCCTGCCCAACAAGTTTGGCTCCAGGGATTTTTAGTAGATACTGCTACAAATTCCTGAAGTTTATCCTTAAATAGTCATATTATATGGATCTTTGATCTGAAATGCTCAATGTCGAGAATTACTTAGCTTTTTAAAATAATTAAAACCTACTGAAATTGATTGATGAAAAACGTATTCTAAATCACATGTGGTCTTATTTTATTTACGGACTGTGAAACATTGAATAAGTGATAGTACATGACAAAAATGGTTAACCAAGCTGAAAATTTAAAAAGTGGAAACTTTTACAGACTCTAAAAATGTGGAAAAGTGGTGTAAGGTTCAAAGGAGTGAGAGTGGGTCCTATCTCTTATCTTTGCCTTCCTGGAACATTGTTGCCTGAGGAGCTGGCAAATGAGAAGAGACATCTCTGGCCCTGCCAGCATAGACAACTGAGATGACTCTGCAGAATATTTGTGGGGTTGAGGATGGAGACCACCATTGGTGAGAGCTATTACAACTTCAAATCAGGGTTATTGGTATTAAACATGGTAGTACTTAAGTACTTAGTAGAATAAACGTTTTGAATGTTAACTGTTGCTTTCAATCTAATTATTTATTCTTACCTGATTTTTATCACTAGGCAAAAAATTTTCAGGAAGACCCATGTGTACATTACTAACCAATAAGAGGTATGAGTTGCTGTATAACTGTGGAATTCAGCTTCTTCACATTGGAAGGCCTCTTGCTGCCTTTGAGTGTTTGATTGAAGCAGTTCAGGTTTATCATGCAAATCCTCGCCTCTGGCTACGGCTGGCTGAATGCTGCATTGCTGCCAATAAGGGGGTAAGTACTGCTTGGGTGTCTTTTTTTTTTTTTTTTTGAGACAGAATCTGGCTCTGTTGCCCTGGCTAGAGTGCCGTGGCGTCAGCCTAGCTCACAGCAACCTCAAACTCCTGGGCTCAAGCGATCCTCCTGCCTCAGCCTCCCGAGTAGCTGGGACTACAGGCATGCGCCACCATGCCCGGCTAATTTTTTCTATATATATATTTTTAGTTTGTCCAGATAATTTCTTTCTGTTTTTAGTAGAGACGGGGTCTCACTCTTCTCAGGCTGGTCTGGAACTCCTGACTTTGAGCGATCCGCCCGCCTCGGCCTCCCAGAGTGCTAGGATTGCAGGCGTGAGCCACCGTGCCCAGCCTTGGGTATCTTTTTATATCCCATCTTCCCCACACACACACACTTATTATTACATGGAAAGCAAAAAATATTTGGGAGCATACAGGACATCATTCCCTTTTTAACCCTTAGTGAATTTGTAAAGATAGTCTTCTATTTTTTTAATCATTGGAAAAAAATTTTAGTTTTAAAAAATCATATATTAACATTCTGGCTCTTGGTAAGCATGGCAACATTAAAGAGTTGAAGTCAATGAGAAGGTCATGTCTGTTGGAACAGTGGTCTGTTAGTTGCTGGGGCAAGGGCCCATGCCATCTGCTGGCATTAGAATGAGGTGTGTGTACCAGGTGCTTAGAGAAGGACTGATGCAGTAAGGAAAGAACACTGCGTTAAACTATATTTCCTTCAATTCCTGGGGGTTTTACTTTGGTTTCAGTAAATGATAACAGAGCTTATGGAATGCCAGGCTGTTTATCTCTAATATACAATTGTCCATAGTGGCTATGAGAATAGGCCAGCTTACATGGACTTCCATGCTTAGATTATCTACAAATGGCAGTTGGTAGAAGCCTTTTGAATCTCGGGTTGGGAGGGGTCAGTGGGAGGTAGGGGAAAGACAGTATCAGAATTACCTGATGTCTGTACCCTCCATTTGCCACCCACCTGCTGCCCTTGCTATGCTCTTCGGATATGAGAAGACTGGAGAGGTATGGCATCCTGAGGTTTTACCTGCCATGCCTGCCATAGATGATATAAGATGTTAGGGCTCTCCTACTGAACAGCACTTTCTGAGAAACAACTACCAAGAGCTAAGGAGACTAAAGAGGCATTTGCCTGGCAGTTTTTACATGTGGCACTTAAAAGTTTATGATTTGAGTATACCTTGGAGGAAGAGATGAGTGATGTCTTTGAAAGGCTTTAATGATTTATTTAATTGTACTTTGCTTTTAAAAGACAACTTTCTTACTGGGTTTTTTTGTTTGGTTGGTTGGTTTTGAGACTGGGTCTCGCTCTGTCATCCAGGCTAGAGTGCAGGGGCACCATCATAGCTCACTGCAGCCTCCAACTCCTGGGCTCAAGTGATCCTCCTGCTTCAGCCTCCCAAGTAGCTGGCACTATAGACACACTCCACCATGCCGGGTTAATTTTTCTGTTTTTTTGTGGAGATGGGGTCTCGCTCTGGTTCAGGCTGATCTTGAACTTCTGGATTCAAACAGTCCTCCTGCCTCAGCCTCCCAAAGTGCTAGGATTGTGGGCGTGAGCCACCGCAGCTGGCCTCTTACCAGATAATTTTTAACTGATTAATAATTCTAGGCAGAGTTTATACTTTTTTAAAAGCAGAGTTTATACTATTTAAAAATAAAAGGAGGCCGAGGCGGGCGGATTGTTTGAGCTCAGGAGTTCGAGACCAGCCTGAGCAAGAGGGAGACCCCGCCTCTACTAAGATTAGAAAGAAATTAATTGGACAACTAAAAATATATAGAAAAAATTAGCTGGGCATGGTGACGCATGCCTGTAGTCCCAGCTACTCGGGAGGCTGAGACAGGAGGATCCCTTGAGCCCAGGAGTTTGAGGTTGCTGTGAGCTAGGATGACGCCACGGCACTCTAACCCGGGCAACACAGTATCTCTAGAAATTGCTTATTCTCTTTAATCCATTCATGAATTTAAATGTTGAGGGCCTTTTGTAACAATTTCTAGAAACCAGGGGTTTACTTCTTCCTGGGACTAGAGAAATACAGTAAAGCTTAATATTTTCTTTTTAAATTACTTATTTTTAGAAATAGTACTTTTAGGATTGTCTTTGTTCTACAGATGTCATTGGGCTTACAAAGACTCCTCCCCTTCTGTCCATTTTTTTCTAGAAAGTTCTAAATTTATAATTTTTTTTTTTTTTTTTTTTTAAGGTAAGGATGACTTTTGGCTGCCATAAGTGGTGGATGCCAGAACACATACAATCTGTGCTGCTAGTAGGAAACTTACCTTAAATAATTATCTATCGTTGTCTTTGCTTTTCCTCCTTCTAAAAGAGGTTTGAGGCTGGGCACGTTGGCTCACACCTGTAATCCCAGCACTTTGGGAAGCCAAGACAGGAGGATTGCTTGAGGCCAGAAGTTCGACACCAGCAAGACCTCTACAAAAACAGAAAAATTAGCCAAGCGTGGTGGTGCATGCCTGTTGTCCCAGCTACCTGGGAAGCTAAGGCAGGAAAATCACTTGAGCCCAGGAGTTCGAGGTTGCAATGAGCTATGATTGTACCACTGCACTTCAGCTTGGGTGACAGAGCAACACCCCATCTCCAAAAATATAAATAAATTAATTAAATAAAAAAGATTTGAGGTGACCTAAAAGACAGTAAAAAGAACCTCAAAACACTGTCGAATAAAATCAGAGAACAATATCATGTTATAAGCTCCAAATAAAATTCCATAAAATTTATTTAGTTAGCACAGGAGAAATGCTGAACAAAGCAATTTGTACTTTAAGAAATAAATTCATTTTGAGTTAAAAAAAAAAAAAAAACGAAAAAAAAACTTAGTTGTTAAGTTGGTGATGCTAAGGAGGTCATTTTGTCCTGTTTATCTGGTATATGTTATAGACTTTTCTTGGCAGAGGCAAGGCTTGTGGTTACCTGGAAAGTGTATAATATATGAAAAAAGATCCTGTTAAACACACTCATAGACTCAATATTTTAATTATGTATGATCCTTGTACATTAAAACTGATCTGGCACACATTCTGGCGATTGGTGACTGAAGATACAGTTTATTATTGTGAGTTTTCAGTTCATTCCATTCCAAGCCAGTTTGTTTTCATCTTCACATCTAGCCATTGTATCAGTTTTCATGGCCTTAGAGATCAGGGAAGAGAATATGCATAACTCAATGTAAATTTATTACCACCACTAGGAAAAGAAGTCAGAATGTAAGTCCTTTCACAGTAATGGTTCAGAATATACACTTTTTAAAATTTTAATACTGCTTGGCTGCCACCTCTACTCACAATTGGTTCCAATTACAGCAGTTTTATTGTGTTTTTTAGCATTGTATAATATGTTCTTTTTAAAATGAATAGACAGGTAAATCCTTGTTTTATTTGTTAAATTATTTTATTAATACATATTAGATATATATTTTTTCAGGGTACATGTGATAATTTGAAACTGTCATATAATCAAAGCAGGGGAATTGATAATCCATCACCATGCATACCCTTTTATTTTTATTTTTTTTGAGATGGGGTGTCAAAATTTTGTACAAGCTGGGCTAGAACTCTTGATCCTCCTGCCTCAGCCTCCCAAGTAGCTGACAATACAGGTGCTCAGCAAATTCTTGTTATATTCAAAGTCATATATGGAAGTGCAACTATAATAAAGTTATATTAGCGAGCAATAAGTAATAGTATGGAAACATTTGTGTTTAGAGAGAAGAATTTTTGCAGGGCAGAGTTTAGTTCTGCAAGTTCATATTGATTGGCTCTCGTTTGTTCCTGTATATGAGAATTTGGATGTCGTTATAAAGTGACTAGTTGGGATTTCACCTGCAGGTAAATTAGAGACTTGGAGTGAAGAGGAAAGATAAATAAAATTGGCACTATCAAGCTTTATAGTGAGATAATATCTCTTAATAAAATATCCTAAAGGTACTGTATATATAAGTAGCTTTACTATTTTCAGTTTGATGTTTACTGGGGATTTTAGTTTCCTAGAAGGCAAGAATTGTGCCCATGTAAATTTTAACATATAGAGCTTGTTAGAGGTTACATATTGTTGACAATTTAATTAATCCTTTGGTTTAAGAAGGACAAGATCAAGCTGGGCATGGTGCTGCACACCTGTAGTCCTAACTACTAAGGAAGCTGGGGCAAGATGCAGGGGTGTTGTAGATTGGGCCAGGAGTTCAAGGCTGCAGTGCACTATGACCATGTCTGTGAATAGCCACTGCACTCCAGCTTGGGCAATAAAAGGAAAGAAAATATCTGTATTTTAGGAAGTGTATTAAATAGTTGCCTTCCTTTTACACTGCATTTTTAGCTCTCTTATTTTCCTTACTCTGGTATCAAACTCCTGTACTATACAGCATGGTACTGGATGTGTAAAATGTTCTAACTAAATCATTTTAAATAAATTATTAGGTCATAACTGAATTGGGTTTTTTCTTAGAATTACCTCAACTCTCATATTAACAAAATATATAGATTTTCAGCCTCATGTACTTTTTCCTATAATAGCAAATATTTCCTTTATCACCAAAAAAGTCCACATTGATGGATCTTAAGAACTTTAAGTTTAGAGCAATTATAAAAGGTATTCAATCATATTTTATACCATATTTTACAGTTCTCTTAAGTTTATTGGAAATTACTGGTGTTTTTTAGACATCTGAACAAGAAACTAAAGGTCTTCCAAGCAAAAAAGGAATTGTACAGTCTATTGTTGGTCAAGGCTATCACCGTAAAATAGTTCTGGCTTCCCAGTCCATACAGAATACTGTTTATAAGTAAGTATTTTGCAAAGAGAAAGTGTGTTTATATTTAATACTGTTTCACATGTTATTTATGTATAAAAGTATGCTTAGGATTTATCATTAGGTGAAAGAACTACTTTGTAACTAGATTTTATTGCTACTTCAATAAACAGACCCCCATATATAGGCCCATAGTGAATGTTATCTGACATGTTGTGATTTTGGTTTATAACATCCATGGGTGCTGAAATTGTTAATGGCCTGATAAGCCCTAGTCTAGTCAGTGCCATTATTCAGAATGTCCAGAAGAGGGCATCTTGATGTCTCCTTTTTATTAATATATAGTTTGGGTTATCGTTGGTACTTTTCATTTAGGTATTTTCTCATAGTCCTTAGGGATGGAAATACTTTAAAGCTAATTCTTAGTATTAGGAGAAGAAAGTGTACTAATACATAAAGCAACCACAGCAATATAGAAGCTGTTACATGGACAACCTTCAGTTGAACAGGTTTTTGGTTTTTTTTTTGAGACAGAGTCTTGCTCTGTTGCCCGGGCTAGAGTGCCATGGCGTCAGCCTAGCTCACATGAACCTCAAACTCCTGGGCTCAAGCAATCCTACTGCCTCAGCCTCCCCCGAGTAGCTGGGACTACAAGCATGCGCCACCATGCCCGTCTAATTTTTTCTATATATTTTTAGTTGTCCAGCTCATTTCTTTCTATTTTTATTAGAGACGGGGGTCTCACTCTTGCTCAGGCTGGTCTTGAACTCTTGACCTTGAGCGATGATCCTCCCGCCTCGGCCTCCCAGAATGCTAGGATTACAGGTGTGAGCCACCACGCCCTGCCTGAACAGCTTTTAATTGAGAATATCCTTATGTTAATATAAAAATCCCAATTTGGAGTTGCTGTTATTTCTGAAGAAGTAGACTTTACAAAGTATTAGCAGCATTTATATTTTTGGTCAGACAAGAAAATTGTTCTCTGCTGTTTAAAAGTTTTTCCAAAGCTTAAATAGTATCCAATACACAATATTTTACTCTTAATTTAGTTCGACTGTAATTCAGGAATATTTTAAAAGACTGTTATGATAAAGCATCATTTTCCTACAATTTCAAAGTTGTTACTTGTTTTTAAAATTTTATTTTTTCCCTAACAAAGATGATTCAGTTTGGTATATCAAACCAACAGAAAGTTATATTAAATATAAAATAACAGTGAAATGATAAGACAAAAGGTAATACAGCTGTTTCAAAATGTATAGAGGCATTTTCGAAAGCACAGATCAACCAAAGCAAAGCTTAAATGTGAAAATCTGTTTTTTTCCCTCCCTTCCCACTCTTACTCTACCTATCCTGGCCTTCATTGCAACTTTCCTTGTCTGCAATTCTTCTATTATGTTAACATTGACATTGCAGGTATGCTTAAAGTTGTCTCTCATCCTTGGTCTCGTTCATAGAGACACAATATGTAATGTATATACTTGCAACCCATTAATTTTACTGTTTACAACCTATATATAATATTCAGGATTTGGGTTATTTAGCATTTTTTTATAACTGCTTATGTTAAAATTTCTACCTATCAAAAGGCAAAGTTTTCATTTACGATCAATTGGTTTTATTCCTGGTAATTGAAAAGTCTTGTCTATTTTTATGCTATCTACTTAGCTAATTTGGTTTTGTTCTTTTAAGTGATGGGCAGTCTTCAGCCATTCCTGTAGCCAGTATGGAGTTTGCAGCCATTTGTCTCAGAAATGCCTTGTTGCTGCTACCTGAAGAACAGCAAGATCCAAAGCAGGAAAATGGGTCTAAAAACAGTAATCAATTAGGTGGGAACACAGAAAGCAGTGAAAACAGTGAAACTTGCAGGTATTCTAATCCTTGTGGCCTCCCTTGGCAAAATCATTTCAGGACTTCCTTTATTAAGCCTCTTTTTCCTTTAGATAAATTCTTAAAATGTTCAGCCTGAATTTTTCCGAGATTCTCTTGTTTTGAATAATAGGAAAGTGTTTATATTTCTAAGTATTTCTGGGAGAGAGAAATAAGGTAAAGGCTAAGTGAGGAGAGATCCTTGAGAGAGAAAAGAGGAAAGTAACTATTGACAGGAGGGATAAGACTTTGCAAGAAATCCTGTTGATTGAAATAGCATTTTTTTTTTTGAGACAGGGTCTCACTCTTTTGCCCGGGCTGGAGTGAGTGCTGTGGTGTCGGCCTAACTCACAGCAACCTCAAACTCCTGGGCTCAAGCGATCCTCCTGGCTCAGCCTCCCGAGTAGCTGGGACTACAGGCATGTGCCACTATGCCCGGCTAATTTTTCTATATATTTTTAGTTGTCCAATTAATTTCTTTCTATTTTTAGTAGAGACGGGGTCTCG